ATGATCTCACACATCCCCCTTCATGTAACCCACCCCCCATCATCTAACCCGTCCCCTGTGACCTCACACATCCCCCTTCATGTAACCCACCCCCCATCATCTAACCCGTCCCCTGTGACCTCACACATCCCCTCTTCCTGTAACCCACCCCCATCATCTAACCCGTCCCCTTGTCTCTCATTTCAGAGGAGGTAGAGGAGTGGAAGGTGGTCTGTGGGAAGTTTCTGGCCATCAATGCTACCAACATGTCCTGCGCCTGTCCCCGGAGCCCCGGGGGACTCTCTCCAGCTGCCCACTTGGGGGACGGATCCTCTGACCTCATCCTCATCCGGAAGTGCTCCAGGTTCAACTTCCTGCGGTTCCTTGTCAGACACACCAACCAGCAGGACCAGGTGAGGGCGGGGCCCTGCGAGTGGCCTCTGTCGGCTGGTGATTTTCAGCTAGGTGGTGGTTGTTAGGGGCTGCCCAGTGGGCACTATACAGTGACCCCTGTACAAAGCCCGGCCCGGCCCTGTGTCACCCTCATCGTCTCTGCTGTGCCTCCGTCAGTCCATCCTGTCAGGAATCTTCCTCGCCCTCCAGGACCCTTCCCCTTCCCAGGGACCAGCCTCTCCTGATAACAAAGTGGGTGAGACAAAGTCTTAGTTAATATCTGTGCCTCGAAAGAGCGCCTTGGCCGTGCTGCCTCCAGGACAGGTTGGTTTGCTGTTCTGGAAGTTCATGGGACAGTACCATCCCCCAGCACCGCAGAGCAAGGCCGTCAGGTATTCTTTGGTCTTCTTTATTCATTGTCCAACTTTCACAAGCATATGGCTTGGATCACGAGCACCTTAGTCCTTAAAGTGGCAACTTTACCCTTTAAAGGAGTTCTCAGATTTGCCCAGTACAGTATCACATGGGTTGATTTTTTTACTACCTACATTTTTAGGTATGTTGATTTACAGTGTGAGCAGCTGCTGTGGACGTGGCTCTGCTGAATCCTGTCCACCTTGGATGCCCCTGCTGGTACTTGAACTACTCGTGGCCTAGTGTCAGCAGGAAGCAGCCACTGGAGGAGGACCCAGTGACCAGCAGGGCTGGTCACCTAGCGGTGCTGTGTGCCATGTGCCGTCAAGTTGGAACCAAATTACAGCTGACCCTGCAGTGGGTTTCCGGAGGCTGTAAATCACACGGGAGGAGACTGCCCATCCTTCTACCACGGGGCAGCTGGTGGATTGGAACCACGTGCCTTCAGGTTGGCAGTGCAGCTCCTTCCACGAGGCCACTGGAGTTCACAAGGGCTTTGTCACTTCCTGTGTCCCAGGTGACACGGAGCGAGTCCCCGAGTTAATGCAACAGGAAGAGAAACAGGTTGTTTGGTTCTGCTTGTGCTTCACTGATTTTTAAACTCTTAGTCACAGATATGCCTTCAAAATTTCACTTAAAGAAGTTTTAAACAAAGAGGTTCGGGTGGCCGGCCTGTTTCTCCTCCTTTGGGGACCTGGAGTGAGGGCCGTGAGGGGTGATTCTCTGGGTGACATGTTGACACTCTCCGGCCGCCTGACTCTAAGCCTGTCAGGCAGACCACACTGTCTGTGATGCGGGATCTTTCAGTGGCAGTCTCTGGTTTTGGTAGGACTCTTACTCTAATTTCATATACGATCTTGGCCACCTTGGTTACTATATGACCTTTTAACAGGACTTGCTACAGTGTAACAGGAAATTCTGCCCCAGCAAGGGACAGGATTCTTGAGAAGTGTCTGGCTCTGTGGAGGCCGTGATTCTGACAGCACTGGTCACTTTGAGGGGCGCTGGGCGCAAGTGTCTGGTCAGTCAGAGGGACGGCTTGGCTGGCCCCTCACTGAGGCCTGAGAAGCTTGTCATGGGCCATCAGTGTCCACACTGTCACCTCAGGAGAGTCACTATCCCTCTGGCCCTCTCTTGGCAGTTCGACTTCACCTTTGTGGAAGTTTACCGCGTCCGAAAGTTCCAGTTTATGTCGAAAAGCCTGGACGATGAGGACAGTGACCTCAGGGAGGGAGGCAAGAAGCGGTTTGCGCAGCTCTGCAGCCACCACCCCGCGTGCTGCTGCACCGTCTCCAACAGCTCCTGGAACTGCGACGGGGAGGTTCTCAATAGCTCGGCCATCGAGGTCAGGTGAGTGCAGGTGCACCATCAGGTCAGACGAGCACATACGGGGAGCACAGTGCACCTTCAGGCCAGGAGAGCACACACGGGGGAGCACAGGGACACCTTCCGACCAAGTGAGCACATATGGTGAGCACAGGTGAGCCCAGTGCACCATCTGGCCAGGAGAGCACACGCAGGTGAGCACAGGTGCACCCTCAGGCCAGGAGAGTGCACACGGGAGCACAGGGACACCTTCAGGCCAGGTGCACACAGGTGAGCACAGGTGGGTGGTCAGGTGAAGGAAGATAAACTCAGTCAGGTGAGCACAGGTCAGTGGTGAGTGAGTGCAGGCCAGCTCTCTGGCCAGGTGAGCATAGGTGGATGTGGTCAGGTGAAGGAAGGTGGACTCTCAGGTGAACAGAGGCCGGCCCTCTGGCCAGCAGCTCGAATCCACTGAGCTGGTGAGTCTGGTCATGTCCCCATAGATGCATGATCCCATGGACAGGTACCCCCAGGAATGCATGCCCCTGTGGACGTGAGCTCTGAGTGGTGGAGAGCCATGACTTAGAGTCTGCGGCAGGAACCGCCTGCACCCTGAAATGCACGCCCCCTTCATTAAGCAGCAGACGGGTCTTACGAGGCCAGTTTGGGGTAGTCACTAGGGTGCCCCCTTAGATACGTTCTGGTTTGGTGATAAGCTGTCAGGCGCTTGTTTTCAGTTGCGAATCTATAGATGTCTTAGTGACTGGTTGCACTCTGGCATCACTACCACACAGATGGCTTAACAAGTGGAAATTTGTACTCTCACAGTTCTGGGCTGCAAGTCTGAATGCAGGATGCTGCCTCTAGAGAGAGCTTTCTCGTGTTGCCGCTGGGGGAGGCTCCTTGTCTCCTTCAGCATCCACGGGCCTAGGTCTCCATATGCATCTCCACGAGTCATCAGTCTTAACCTGGGTCTGGGGGTTTCTCAGTACCGGGACCCTGGGTCCCGAGGACAGGCTCCACTCGTGGCTTCCCTCCTGGTAGCAGGAGGCCCCCTGCTCTTAGTTAATCTCCTTGATGTCTCAAAACTTTGAGCAAATAAGCTGTTAAGAGCCTCTGTGAAGTGCTGACAAGCATGACTGTCACTTTAAAGACTGAGGTGTGCCTGACTCAAGCCAAGACCCAAGCCAGTTGTTCACATGCCTGTGGGATTGGGACACTGAATGAGACTGAAGCATCGATGCCTTTGCACTGTGCTGTTGAACTGCTAAAAGAACAAACAAACCTGCCTGTGAGGACTCTGCCACATCTTCTACCTGAGCTGCTGGGCAGGTCAGGGTGTGGTGCCCCCAAGTTCCCGGGGCCCACTGTGCTTGGGTTGCAAACCAGAAACATGATCAACAGAATCAAGTCTGTTACAAAACCAGATGAAACAGGAGCAGAGAAGGGCACTGGCTCTGTTCTTAACAGGGGACCCGAGGTTTGGAAAGGCGCCATGAAAGCCAAGCTGTTGACAAAGGAAGGTGCTGAGAGGCGTGAGAAAGGCATGCACGATGGGAAGAGGATTCTGGACGCCCAGGAGACTCCGAACCTGGTGGCACAGTGTGCTAAGTGCCCGCAGGTCAGGCCACCAGGTGGTCGGAGGGAGGCGGGCCATCTCCTCTGTGAAGTTGTGCAGCCTCAGAGGTCGTGGCAGTTGGCCGCTTAGAGACGATTCTGTACCGGTGACCGGGTTCTTTCACGTGCCGCTTGGTGGTCTCCTTTTCCTCTCTCCAAGCCCAGCATTCGCTGGTGGGCACTGGGGGTCACGAGGGAGCCTGTGAGGAGCCTTCCCTGTTGGATCTAACGAGGGGAACACACGCACCCCCAGTGTTGAGGGAGAAGCTGTCTGAGTCCCCACTGTTGGGCTTAACCAGGAATGACGGGTGCAATGCGACGGCATTCCTGCCACTGGCGTCCACGCTGGCCCAGTGTCCAGTCCTCGGGGACAGACCACTCGCTGGCCAAGGGCCTTCCTGATCGGGGTCCCCTGCCCCAGCAGGAAGGTGCCAGCGAACCCGCCAAGCCCGTGACAAGCTCTTTACAGGCTGAGGAAGTGGATCGTGTTTAATCCCGGTGGACATTCACGCCCAGGAAATAGGACGCCTGGGAAAGTAGGAGAGGCAGTCTCTCAAGAAACACAACCCCAGGGCTGCCGCAAGTGTGGGGCCCCAGGAGGAAGGGGTGCACCTGTTTGTCTCTCTCCATCTCTCATGTTTCGGTTTTGTAATATACAGTAAAAGGAGCCCTGGTGGTGCGGTGGATCAAGCATCTGGCTGGTAGCGGGAAGGTTGGGGGTCTGAGCTCACCACCCGCTCTAAGGCCCAGTGAGGCCTCAGTGAGGACCCGGAGTGCTGGAAACCCAGTGGGCAGTTCTGCTCCAGCCCACAAGGTTCCCAGGAGTCAGAACCGACTGGACAGCAGCAGGGTTAGGGTTTATACAGTTGTGGTTGTTGTGTACTGCAGAGTCAGAACCGACCTATAGTTGACCCTCCAGCAGCTTTTCAGATTCAAGTTAATCACACGGGAGGAGACTGCCCATCTTTATCCCGCAGAGCCACTGGTGTCTTGAACTGCATGTGTTTGGGATTGCAACACAGTTTCTTACCACTAGGCCCCCAGAGGCCCTTGGCTTATACAGTCAAACCTGTGTAAGGTAGAACCCCATCAGTGGGAGAAACGTGAACATTGCCAACTGAAGGTGCTGGAAGCAGGTGGCCATTGTGGTCAGCCGTTGCACCCCACGAGACCCCAAAAGTCCCAGGTGTGTGGCACATCACTAGCCTTTTCCAGGGCTGAGTTCTGCTGCCCATCCCTGGACGGGGCGAGTCCCACAAGCCCCTCATGGGTGCCATCTGCTCTGACCCTTAGGGGACCCTCACTGCCCACACACTCCCTCGTAACCTAACCGAGCTCGTGCAGTGGCCAGGGGCCTCTCAGCGCTGCTGCTGCGTTCTGTGGAGTTGTCACTGACGCATGGTGACCCCTCTGTCAAAACCCTGCCAATCCTGCACGTCTGTGCCGTGTCTGACCTGCGCAGGGCCACTGTTAACATTGTCGCAATCCATCCTGTTCAGTCTTCCTCTTTCTCTGGACTTTTTAAAACTAGTTTGTTTTTTAATTGATATAATAATGAACGTTTATAGAGAACTTGGGTTTCCATTCATTCATTGTTGCACATTTTCCTCCCTCCGCCCCTCCCCCACCCCAATTCACTTTTTTCTTTGAGAAGAAAAAAAATTCTTTCATTGTTATACTGTCCTCCCTCCCCCAGTCCACTATACTGTGCAGCTCTTATTCTGGACTCCTGCCATGCAAATAATACCTAATCATACGTCACTTTTAAACAGTTCTCTCCCTCGTCTATTTCAATGCCGTGTACATTATTTATCCCCTCTTAGTTTCCTCCCAACCCTGAGGTCAGTCCTGTTTTATAACAGTGGCATTATGCAGTATTTGTCCTTTTGTGATTGAGATATTTCACTCAATAAAATGTCCTCCAGGGTCACTCATTTTGCATAATAGTTCATGAGTTCCTTATTTTTCAATGCTGCATAGTATTCCATGGTGTGAATACACCACAATTTCTCTATCCATTCGTTTGTTGATGGGCACTTAGGTTGTTTCCAACTCCTTGCTATTGTCAACAAAGCTGCGATAAACATGGGTCTGCATATATCTGCTTGGATGTCAGTTATGGTCTCTTTGGGGTATATTCCCAGTAGTGGAATTGCTGAGTCAAATGATCTTTCTATTTCCAACTTTTTGAAAAAAAGTTTTTCACTGCCTTCCACTGTGGTTGCACCATTTTATACTCCCACCAACAGTGAATAAGGGTTCCAGTTTCTCCACAACCTCGCCAGAATTTGTTGTTGGCTGCTCTGTTAAATTTTGCTGTTCTTACTGGGGTGAGACGATATCTCATAGTTGTTTTGATTTTCATCTGTCTTAGAGCTAGGGATTTTGAACATTTCTTCATGTGTTTGTTGGCCCTCTGAATGTCTTCTTTGGTGAAGTCTCTGTTCATATCCTGTGCCCATTTTTCAATTGGGTTGTTTATCTTACTGTGGCTCTCAAATGTTCTATAAATTCTAGATATAAGTCCCTTATCAGACCTGTCATTACCAAATATTTTTTCCCAGTCTGTAGCTTCCCTTTTACCCTGCTAGAAAAGTTTTTAAATGGGCATAGGGATTTGATTCTTAGACGATCCCATTCATCTATTTTATCCTCTCCTGGTTGTAGGTTAAAACTAGTATTAAAAATGATGTCTTTCTCCAAAGAGTAACCCCCCTTGACAACAGGCTCAGAGTGTGTGAGATAAAGCCTCACCGTCTTTGCCTCTAAGGAACACCCTGGTTGCACTTCACTGAAACCGATTTGTCTGGCCTTTTGGCCGTCCATGGCTATTCAGCACTCATCTCCAGCACCACAGTTCAGAGGCATCAATTCTTCCTCAGTCTTCCGTATTTGTTGTCCAACTTTCACATGAGTAGGAAGCAACCTAACAAAACTGCTTGGGTCAGGCACACCTTAGTCTTTAGAGTGACACCGTTGCAGTTTATAGAGGTCCTTGACGATTTGCACAGTGCAGTACTGTCACTGCTGGGTTAGCAGCCAGGATCCTCCTGGTCTTCACACTCCCTCAGCAAGCAGGACAGCCCCTCACCCAGGAGGACAAGCCAGCCACTGGCAGGCGCTGACCACCAGGCGACGTGGCTCACAGTTGGGCAAGGCTGCGGCCCCACACAGTCTCAGCTGTGTCCCTTTGTCCTTGCAGGACGCACTGCCAGCTGGTCCGGCTGTTCGCGCGAGGCATCGAGGAGGACCCGAAGCGAGCCTCGCAGAGTTGAGCGCCTGCCACCCCGGGAGCGTGGGCGTCACCAAGGACGCAGAGCTCGGCTGCCCTGTAGTGTCGAGATGTAGACATGTATTTTTATAGCTGATTCCCGATTTTAGCAGAGTTCTGTTGTCAGCAGTGCTGTACACATAACCTGCCGTCTCATGGGCCCCTCAGCCAAGTTAGAGATGCTGCTTCTGGAGCACTGGGCCAGCCCCGCAGGCGTCCAGGTGGCCGGGCTTCAGGGCCCTGCCTCCTCTTCAGCCTGAAGGTGGTTCAGCCTGGTGATTGCTAGTCAAGTCCAGGGCGGTGGCCAGGCTCTGTCCTCCTTTCTTCCCCTTATGTAGTGGTGGCCGCGTGGCTGCTGCAGCCTTTGTCTGTAACTACAGTGCACCCCCGGCCTGCTGGGGAGCCTCTGGGCAGACCAGTCAGCATGGGGTGGGGTGAGGGGACAGGCACCCGAGGACAGTCGACCTGTAAAACCTCGGCTCTTGTTTTCAGCCTTGTCCTGCTGCTGAGCTCGGCCAGCAGAGGGAGCTCAGGCTACACTGGACAGGACTCAGGGCTGTGTGTCCCGTCCCCGTCCTTCCAACCCCCCACTGGCCCATCAGCAGTCTCTGCAGCACCAGTGTTTTCACTGTCACCCGTGAGCTGCAGCCGGGCTGGGGGCTGTGGGAAGAGGGCTGGTAACAGGGGCCTCTGGTGAGTCCTTGGTGGCGTTGAGACCCGGCCCCACTGTCCAGGAGTCCAGCGTGGCCACCCTGGGGCCCACACAGACCTGTTGCTTATCCTTGTCTCCATACTCAGTCCTGCAGAATTGAATGTCTGTCTGTCTCAGACCGGGGTCTTAGTGGCATCCGATGGTGTTTGTTATCTATTTGCTCTCTGGCCCCGGTGGCCAACCCTCCACTCAGCACATATGCAGGGTGACCACAGGCCCACCGAGGGCCTCCCTCCTGGGCTGACTGTAGGGCCAGGTGCCTGGGGAACCGCTGACTGGACATGCAGTGAGAGGCAGCTGCTTGTGGCAGCTACGCCTCCTCTGCCCCTGTGATGCTGAGCGAAGTGGACTGGGCTTCACTTGAGACTATTTCTGTGGGAATGTGGGCTCAAAGGTCTCCCTCCCATCAGGACAGTAGGCAGCTTTCCCCGTGTTTTAGGGACCATGTGATTGGTCACTTCCATTTTTCACGATGTTGTCAGGGACCGTGTGATGGGCTGCTGGGTCACTAATGGTCACATGGGTCCTGGTCACTTCTGTCTGTCACGCTTTGCTCTGGTGGTGAGTCCAGCAGCTCCCTGGAAATGGGCAGCGGCCTGCTGTGTCCCCAGGTGCTGGCACCTATAGAGGGCAGGGTGTCCCCTGGGACCAAGGGGTCAGGGCTGCAAAAGGAGGGTCCCGCGGGTCCCCGAGGCTGCTATGGAGCCCCAGGCCCCCGATGTAGCTCCTTGACATTGTCACTTCACGGGGTCCCGAAAGCCCACAAAGTTTTCATTGTCCCTGGTGAATATCCCCCTGTGCTGTCTGTCCCCAAATCCACCGCTGGTTTTAGAGACTCACGCAGCTTGATCCCCAAGCCGTGGCCAGCTAGGGAGACGGGTCCAGTGGCCTCACATGCACAGAGGTGTCCAAAGGGGCAAACCTGTCACCCTGCTGGGCTGGCGTTATGACTGTGTGGCCTCAGGGCACCTGGCACAAGTTGAAGCGGCCTCCAGGCAGGGGGTCAGAGGTGCCCATGCTCAGATGCCGCACCTCAGCTGGAACACCAGAATGGACCCGAAGGGAAGCCAGGCTGAGCGCAGAGCTGGCTCTTCAGAGGCCGCGTCTGTCCTGGGTTCACATCCTTGCCTCTTGGTGCAAAGACTGCAACTCGAGGCAGCGGGCAGCTCTCCTGGCGCCCACAGCTGGGCCTGCGCCCCGGCCCGGTCTCTTCAGCCATGGGGGAGGGTAACACAAGTTTTCTTTCTAATCCTGCTGGTTTCAAGATTAGAAAGCTGCGTATTGAAGCATGGATGTGTTTGGAGAGAAATAAAGTTACTTTGGGTAGAATTTGGCTCCTCCTGCCTTTCGTAAAGTCCTGTTACTTCCGAAGCTGGATGTTTTCTCCGGGCCTTGGGGGAGGGGGTGTCTTCCTGTGCAGCACTGAAGGCTTCTTGACCCTGGTCACCCCCAAGCGTGGACTCATCCAGCCAGGCCTCCACTGGACCTGAGAGTGTTCCCAGCCGGTACGGTGCTGGCACGGACACTAGAGGGCGCTGGGGGCATAGTTCTGCCCTGGGCCACTCAGCAGGTGAATCCCGCTGGGTCTCTACAGCCTGGTCCCTTAGACCAAGCAGGTGCTTCCAGACTCTTCCATGGTGCTCTGCCTCGGCCAGGGGTGGTGTCAGCTCCCTCCGCTGCTGGAGAAGCACGGGGAGTACATGTATGGAGTTCTGGTGGCCTCGTGGGTAGGAGCTGTGTCCACTCTCAGAAGCATGTGGTGTGACTCTGCCCTGCAGGGGAAATATGGACAGTTTCCTCCCGTGATCTTTACTGCCTCTAAAACCCTGCTGGAGGGCCAGCTCTGGGCCGGTCCTGGTCACCAGCACCAACTTCTCTGTTTGCTTTGTTGTTGTTATGTGCTATCGAGTCTCTTGCGACTTATAGCGACCTTGTGTACAACAGCCCTAAACTCTGTTCTGTCCTGTGCCAATCGCACTGTCTCTAACACTCCCATCCTGATTATCCCAGTCACTGAATCAGTCCACCTCATAGAGGGCCTTCCTCTCCTGCGCTGTCCCTCCACTCTGCCCAGCATGATGTCCCTCTCCAAGGACCGGTCTCTCCTCACAACATGACCAAAGTATGTCAGACAAAGCCCCAGAATCCTTGCCTCCAAGGAGCAGCCTGGTTTAACCCTCTCCAGGATGAATCTGTTTGTTTTCCTAGCAGTCCATGGTATTCTCAATACTCTTCTCCAGCACCACAGCTCAAAGGCATCAATTCTCCTTCTATCCTACCTAGTCATTGTCCAACTCTCTGATGCATAACAAGTGATTGCAAAGACCATGGCCTGTATCAGACGCACCTTAGTCTCCAGAGAGACACCATTGCTCTTCAGCACTTTAGAGAGGTCCCTAACAGCAGACTTTCCCATCACAATATGTCTTTTTTTAAATCTCCTGGCTGCTGATGCCAAGAGTGTTGATTGTGGAGCCAAGCAGACTAAAGCTGTGAACAGTCTCATCTCTTCATCTTCCATCCTTTTCCCCCCCCTTCATCTTCCATCCTGATACTGCCAACATGCCCCCCCGTCCTGGAGATTGGGGTGATGTGACTATAGGGGAGGGGCAGGCCAGTGGGGCGTGACAAGTTCTGCCTTTGTTTTTTTTCAGGCATTTGGGTCTAGAGATTTTGTCCCAGGCTCACTGACGCAGCTTTCCAAGGTCCCAGGATAGCTTGGCCGCCTCTGGACACCAGAGAGGAGAGATTCAGCCATAGGCTGTGGGGCAGATAGACAGACATCAGCAGAGGGCGTCTGTTTGGCTGAGGAAGCTTGCCAGAGGGCATGGGGTTGAAGTCACTTAGAGGATTGTGGAAAGTTGTTTTGTGCTATCATGGAGATGGGACCAACTCTTGGCTGACTGTCCAGTGGTTTACCCAGGAGATTGCCCATCTTCCCCCGCAGAGCTGCTAGTGTGTTCGAACCACCTGCCTTTGGGTGCACACCTCCTTCCCACCGAGTCACTGAGCTCCTTGTGAAAGGTTAGCTCCACTCATTGAAAGATGGTGGTGGTTAAGTGCTGTCAAGGACAACTCACACGGACCTTGTGCACCACAGAACTGAACCCCAGCCTGGCCTGTGCCATCCTTATCATCTCTGACACCTTAGACCCCACGGCCACAGTCACTGTGTCCGTCCATCTCGTGGAGTCCTCCTACTTTGCCAGCCCTCCACCTTTCCAAGCCTGATGTCCCTCTCCAAGTAGTGTGCTCTCCTAACAACCTGCCAAAGCGTGTGAGACAAAGCTTTGTCACCTTTGCCTTCAAGGTGCACTTTGGCTGCACTTTCTCCCAGACACGTTTGTTCTCCTGGCCGTCCATGGGATGGTCAGTGCTCTTCTCCAACACCACAGCTCAAAGGTGTCAATTCTCCTGTCATCCTTGTTCATTGTCCAGCTCGCAGATGCATAGCAAGTGACTGAAAGGACCGTGGCCTGAATCAGGTACACTTTAGTCTTCAAACTAGCATCATTGCTGTGGAGTTCTGGCCCCTTAGAAAGGGCCGAGGAGCCATGGATAACTGTGGCCAGACACGTCATGGCCAGCTGAAAGACTGGTGGTTTTAATCTGTCCAGCAGTCCTGAGAGGAGGTCTGGTGATGAGCCCCTATAGAGGACATCTGAGGACACCAGTGGGCAGTTCCGGCCCGCCACACGGGGCCGCTGTTGGTCAGCATCGCAGGAAGTGAGGGGGGTGAGGGGGGTGGTGGTTCAGGTGTGGGATCCTCACCTTCCATGGAGGAGACTAGGAGCCCTGGTGGTGTAATGTGTTACATGTTGGGCTGCTAACCATAAGGTAGAGGTTCAAATCCATCAGCTGCTCCACTGGAGAAAGATGGGCAATCTTCTCTATTTACTGCCTGAAAAAAGCAGCCAATGAAAACTCGCTGTGGCACGGAAGCCTCATCCCCAGCCGATGATGGGGCTGGTGCCAGATGGGGCAGTGCCACAGGCCAGGCTGACCCGCATGGGCTCCACGAGCCCTCAGCATCCCCCCTCCTAAGTCCTCTGCAGTGGCCTCTCCCTGGTCTAGCCCTGGCTCCCACTGGGCGCACCTCCCAGTTAAACCAGATGCTGGAGGTCTCCAGCACTGCGTTGGTTGTGTTTTCATGCATGGATGCTGAATCATCAAATCCCTTACATGGTCGTTTAAATGAAAGGTGGATGTGTGCAAAGCCAAGTGACCCGCTGCGGACCCTCCAGCAGGTTTCCAGAGGCAGTTAATCGGATGGAAAAGCTTGACCCCCTTTC